GCCACCTCCCATGGCACCGTGCCGCTCCACGTCCCGCACCTCAAGCCTCCGTGGCACAGAACTGCTGGCATGGTCCCCAATGGCCGCTGACGCGCTCCCCACCGCCAGCGACCATGCAAGCCCTGGCAATTGCTCCAGCTGAAGAAGCGGGTGGCTGGGAGGCTGCCACAGTGCCGATCTTCTGCATCCATCAGCTGGCGACCCCCTGAATGTGCACTTGTCAGCTGGGAGGCCTGGCGACGGAGCCGACCGGCATGGAGGGGGATGGGGAGGTGGCGGCTTGGTGGGCGGGTTCCCGCCTGCCCACAAATGTTTGGCCCACGGGGCTCGACACAGAGTCGACAGTCCAACATAATTTCCCTCCTTGGATGAGAAAGAAGGAATCTCTCCCGCCCATGTCCCTTCCACCCCCACTCAAGCGACAACAGGAGGTTGCAGACAACTAAGTCAGCCGGTGCAGGAAGCCCTGGAATGGCCAGTCCAGGGTGCCTGGTTGCAGTGCTGGATGTCTTTTGCTCCTCCTAGAAGCCGGTAGCAAGAGAAAGAAGTCGTTCAAACTTCAAGCTAGCTACTGGACGCCTATTCACACTTTTTTTCCTTTTTTTTTTTTTTGAGTACTTGTCTGCCAACCCACCCCATCTGTAAAAGAAAAAGTCTTCCACCCAAGCATAACTTGTAAGGATTTTAAGGATCTTTGAGAGGAAGAGAGAAATAGAGAGAGGGAGAGAGAGAAAGAGAAAGGGAGAGAGAGAGAGAGAAAGAGAAAGAGAGTGACAGGGAGAGAGAGAAAGAGGGAGAAGGAGAGAGAAAGAAAGGGAGACAGAGGAAGAAAAAGAGAGGGAGAGGGAGAGAGAGAAAGAAAGGGAGAGAAAGAGGGAGAGAGAAAGAAAGGGAGGGAGGGAGGGGGAGAAATAGAGGGGGAGAGAGAGGGAGAGAAAGAGGGAGAGAGGGAGGGAGAGAGAGGGGGAGAGAAAAAGGGAGAAAGAGGGAGAGAGAAAGGGAGAGAGAAAGAGGGAGAGAGAAATAAAGGGAGAGGGAGGGAGAAAGGGAGAGAGAGAAAGAGAGGGAGAGAGAAAGGGGGAGAGAGAAAGAAAGGGAGAGAGAGGGAGAGAGAAATAGATGGAGAGAGAAAGAGAGGGAGAGAGAGAAAGAGGGAGAGAGAAAGAAAGGGAGAGGGAGGGAGAAATGGAGAGAGAGAAAGAGAGGGAGAGAGAAAGAGGGGGAAAGAGAAAGAAAGGGAGAGAGGGAGAGAGAAAGAAAGAGGGAGAGGGAGAGAGAAATGGGGGAGAGAGGGAGAGAGAGAGAGAAAGAAAGAGGGAGACAGAGAGAGAGAGGGAGAGAGAAAGAAAGAGGGAGAGAGGGATTAAATTAGTAACATGGTTGTTAAGTGAATCTGGTTTCCCCCATTAACATTGCTTGTCAGAAGGTTGCAAAAGGCGATCACATGACCCTGGAACAATGTGACCATCATAAATATGAATCAGTTGCCAAGCATCGAAATGTAAATCACATGACCCTGGGGATGCTGCAACGGTCATAAGTGTGAAAAATGGTCATAAGTCACTTTTTTCAGTGCTGTTGTAACTTTGAACAGTCACTAAGCAAACTGTTGTAAGTCAAGGACTACCTGGTACTTTATCACTTTTTTCCATTTTTTTTGGTCATCAAGTTTTTGACACCTCGCTAGGTGACTGGTGGTACTCGCATGTTGCCATATTCTAAAAGTGGTACAATCGGTGAAAAGGTTGAAAAGCCCTGCATTAATGGACCAATTATTTCCTTCACTTTTTTCTTGTTTTTTACATGTTGAAAGAAGCTTTTTTTTTGTTATTTTTGACTTTGGTCGCAAGCCTTAGTTCATTTTGAGCCTTAGCTTTCCTCACTTCATCTTTGCAGGCTCGGGCTATTTGCTGATATTCTGACTTAGTATACGGATTTGTATACTTCTCATTCATGCCATTTGCATTGTGCTCTTGCAAATACTGCCCCGAGAATTTCTGATCTGGTAAGAAAGAAGCAATCTTAACCTTCGCACTAACGTTGGCTTTTTACACATACTGTCGCAAAATGTAGCAATGTAGTTTACTGTTGTTATATTAAGACTGTTACCCATGCTACACCATGCTTCAAGACAAAATTTCATTTATTTGTAATTAGAAATAAATATTTCACAATATAGAATTACATATAATGCTTTAATTATGTTCAATTTGTAACAATGAAAATACATCCTGCATATCAGATATTTACATTACGATTCATAACAGTAGCAAAATTACAGTTATGAAGTAGCAACGAAAATAATTTTATTATGGTTGGGGGAAATTGCAGAAATCTAATTGGCCATGATAGAGTAGGATAGGGATACAGAAAATCTTTCCTGCATCTAATGGCTGTCTGAATGTTTGCAGCCCAACTATAGTATGAAAGCCAATTTGATGTATGAAAGCCAATTTGATGTAGTGGTTAAAGACACTAGATCAGAAACAAGGAGATATAATGTGAGATCTAATCCTGCCTTAGGTACAAAGCTACTCTTTCTCAGTCCAAGGAAGAAAACAAATGCAAACCACTTCTGAAAAAGTTGCCAGGAAAACATGCCAAGTTTATGTAATTACCAAGAATCAAAACTGATTTGATGGTAATAGATAAATAAATGACATGCCAAGAAATGATGCAAAATTTCTCAAATTAATTTCCTTGGATTTGATCTATATTAACTTAACTAAATTTAGATCCTGTGAAAATATTGGGACAATCCCATTGTGAATCCCTTGGATCTCAATAAGAACTGGCTCATTCGCCTAAAAGTTGTATTAATTGAATGCAATGGATTCACTTTTCAATAAACATAAATGTGTTGTAAAGTCAAAGAGTTTAATCTTAATCCTACTCAGTACAATCGAAACATTAATATTTTACTTAAATTCTGTTCTGGTGCTATTACAATAGTACTGAAATGCATTCCAAGTACATTACAAGAAATAAACTATTACCGTATTTGGGGAATTGTTTTGTTGTTTGCTGCCTCCAACAGGATGGTTCCAGAATTTTCTCATGCATATAATAAAAATATGTTAATTGAACATGCAATAGATGTTAGAAGCAATATTCAGGGATTTCCACATAAATGTACCAGAGCAACATATCCTGCATAAGTTATTATTTGGAATTTCTCAATCCCTAAATAGACCAAAAAGATCATTAGAGGAAATGTTTATATTTCTGGGTACAGCTACACTGGAGGCATGTGATAAGTTTGCCACAAATCAAATATATGCCATTGCTATGATATAAGACAGTGCAAATGACTTTTCTCTATCCTTGAGGATATTAGAAACAATTCCCAAAGGAAAATCACATCAAGAAGAAGAAATTAGGAGACTTCCAGTGTGCAGGCGACCTCGTCGGACACAGCTGATGGCTGTCTCCCGCCTGTTTTCGTGTAAAAGCCGTTTTGACAGCAAGCATCAGCTGTCAAACGGTTTGATACCTTTCCCCCGGGCATAAGGGGATCGGTGAGCCGCCCGGGGTAGGAGTTGAGTTCCCGAGTCGTCCTATGTGGACGATGTAGGTTAGAACTCCTCCGNTCTAAATATCAAAAACAAAACACAGCTATGCCTGCTTTAAGAATTACATTAACTTTAATAAGTGGATTTCTTAACAGGAGTCACTCCTTTTTTAGGTGATTAGGAAGATCAGCAGTAAGGCAAGCACTGGAAAAAAATAAGATGAGAGCCCTGTAGGTAAATGGCAAAGGTGGGAAAGTGATAGGTGGTCCGTGATGAGCGGGATAGAAAGAAGATTGGTGGCAGTAGATAGAAAGTACCATGTATTGGGCTTATAGCAGACATGTCAAACTTGCGACGTCACATGACGTCGCATGACGTATCGGAACTTTTTCCCCATTGCCGGCAATGGGGTGGGCACAGTTTCCTCGTGATGCATCTGGCCTGCAGGCCGGCTTATAGCATAGAAAGTGACAAAAGGCGGAGGGAGCTCTAATCTGTGGCAGGTGATAAGAGAAACTGGCACTTACACAGCATCAAGCCTTGCAGGTTTTAAAAAACAGGAAGCAGAAGCAGACATTCCTTCATGTGCATAAAGTCTGCAAAATGACAGGCAGGCTTTTTAATGCATGCACAAAATGTGGAAGTATGTTTTAATGTTTAGAATGACTTGATATTTTTGAAAGCAATCTTGATAAAAAAATTCAGTTTTATTTGGAAATCATTTATAGGCTACAATTTTAAACATGGAATTGCACCAAATTCAAAATTATGATTTCAGAGCTTATATTCTAACTTAATATATAATCTCTCTTTATATTGTCATGATATATTTTTTATCCTTAGTTTTTCTACCTTTCCTTTTTAAATGTTTGACAGTGTTATCCAAAGACTTAAAACCATATCTAATCAAAGATGTTGATTAGATGTTCAAACCATATTTAATCAAAAATGTTTTGACAAGTTTTTAATAAGGTATTAGACCATATTTGTGATATATTTTACATTTTATCCAGCCTTTTTTAACTATTTATATTTATCTGTATTATCTATTTTTACAATCTTTTAAACATGTACTCATGTCTTCTTCTAATTTAACAAACTTTGCAATTTAACAGATACTCCTTCCCCCAAATGGGACCATTAAATAAAAGTTTTTGCAGGATCCACTTTGGGTCAGTCACTGGGACCAGAGGTTTAGTTTTCCAAGCTTTCTTGGGCTCCAGCACGAGTCTGAAAGCTCAGAAGACTAAGCCTCTGGTCCTGGTGATCGTCCCAGATTGCATCCTGCAACTTTATCCTGAGACACGTCTATTTTCTTTCATTCATAAAAGTTTTATTGTATTTCAAGATTTTAGAAAGAGGTACATCTCCATTTTTAAGTTACCGAAGCCAGATTCCACTCAAAATTAGTTCCTTCATCTCATCACCATTCATATCCCCCACCCCATCTCAGGTCTTGTGATTCTTCTATTGATTAACATACCTCTCTAGCAACATTACTTGTTTTCACTTCTTGGATAACAGTGCCACACAAAATGTACTCAACAGCTTCCTTAGGCACATCAGTCCGATTCACCAAGCCTCTGGGGGAACAGATCAGAGAAAGAAGGCACTTCAATGTTAAATCAAGAGTGTTTTAAAGAATGATAACAGAGATGATAGAGGGGATTGAGTACATGCCCTAAGAGGACAGACTGAAGGAACTTGATTATTCAGTTTGAAGAAAAAGAAGGTTATAGTTTGGCAAGATTCTGTCCATTAGGTGTAAGCAGATATTTTAATCACATCTATCTATAGTACGAGGGTCACTCTAATGTTGCGGTTAAGGCAAGCTAGAAACCAAGAGACGGTACATGAAGCCAGTTGGATGACCTTGGGCCAGTCATTCCCTCTCCGTGTCCTAGGAAGACAGCCATGGCAAACCAATTCTGAAAATCCTTGCCAAGAAAACTGCAGGGACTTATTCAGGCAGTCTCTGAGAATCAGATAGTAAACTGACTATCCAAACATTTCCAAAACTCCTGACCCAAATTTTGTTACACACCAGTCTAGGTAATCTAGTCAACAGAAATCTTGATAGGATTTTTGTTGTTGCTATTTTGTATTTAAGTGATTAAATTATCTTGTGTATTTCCTAATTTTGGAAGTTATCAAGGATCAGGCAGGTTTCAAAATACTGTTCCCTCACTAAATGCTTCCCAGAGTGGGCCCAGAAGTTATCTTAGAAACAGTCATACTTTGCTGCAGCCTGTTGCAGTTTTGCTCCCACAGCCCATAATCCACTTTGCTTTGTAGTTAAGCGAAATAGTAAATGTAGTCCTTGAATTAAAATATGATTCTACATGGCATTGCAACTGTAAATCCTAGATTTCATTACTGGGAAAACAGTCCTTTTCATTCTATAAGTTAAGTCACAAGGTGATTTTTAGGGCAATGCTTTGGATCTGTTTGGGGAAAAATGGTTCAGAATGCAAGAAAAAGTGAATACAGTAGATTCCTGCCATTCATTGGAAAAGCGACCTCTGTTCTAAGGACTTTGTAACTGTTTCAGTTCATTCAATTTTAATGAGTCCAGAGAGAAACTGTATTCCTGCTCTTGGGAAAAGTACTTCTTCCCAATTGAATCAAAAGCATTGCACAGCCCTGGAACTTACAGGACAGGTCACAACAAAATTTAGGATATTTCTATCTCAAATATTTTTTAAATTCACATGTAAGTGTTTTATATAAAGACAAATCTAAAGAAAAACATAGAAAAGAAAAAAGGTGCAAGGTAAGAAAAAACAAATTAGGCAATATAGCGACCTCCAAACTTATTTTTAATAGATAATTACAATCTTATAATCTTCCCTCCCTCTTAGATGTCATACAAATCTCTTTAGCCCCTCACTTAAATCCAAATCTTTTTTAATCCTCAGTCCATAACTCATATTATTTTTTCTTCTTTCAGCAAAAGCTCCATCTAAGGTAACATTTCACCTGGTGACTGAGAATTCTAGTCCCACCTTAAGCATGAAAGTGTCTGGATAACTTTAGACCAGTCACACTCACTCAGCCCAACCCACCTCACAGGGTTGTTGTGAGGAAAAGAGGAAGAGGAACTATTAGATATGCTCGATATCTTGAGTTATTTATCAAAATAATAAAGGTGGGATATAAATAAAGATGAAAGAATTTGAAGTACGCTAGGAAGACAAGGTGAATTATTCTCATCTATATTTATTGGTAATAAGAATGGCAGCATTCTACTGATCACAACAAATGAATAGTTTGATGAAAGAAGAAAAGGCACTTCAGGCACAAAAAACAAAGCAGAACATCCCTAAACAACTCTCTATGAACTAAATCACAACCAAATTGCTCCACTTTTATTTATTTACTACTTACATCAGTGCTGCTCTGGCCAAGTCATGTGGCATTAAATCTGCATATCTGAAGATTAGAAGAGAAAGAAAAAAAACACCTTCTCATTAATTACTGAAGAATATACTTTTGTTTTACTAACTGCAGTACAAGCTGAAAAAGAAATTACAGAAACTTTAAATTTGGCTGTTTCTCTGTTAATATTATTTATACCTTTTCCCAAAAGTGCCCAAGAGGTTTTAGGGAACATTTAATACTCACGAGGTCCCGGACTGCAAAAATGGAATGCGAACACCATCCACCACTACAATATTCTTCAGCCCATTTTTAGCTAGGGTTTTCTTACTTTTGGCTTGAACTGCAGTAATAATAAATTATTATTATTAGAAAAACTAGTAGAGCTAGAGCAAGAATTATCATAAAATTATCAAAAGCCAAAGCATTTGTTGCTATTGTTTAGAAAAGGGATTAAAATAAATTTCACATTAGGATAAGATTAATAGAGTTTATTTTGAAGTTTGTCTAAAAACACCCAAAGCTCACAATTTATTCCTTCTATTTAATAATGTTATGATATCTATTGTTTGTTTTTCCCATCTGTAGTTTTCAATAAAGCATGAATAAACATCAAAATTAGAATTGCAGAACTTCAACACTTTTAAAAATGTTTGTGTGTGTAATACCCACACACACATTGTAATAATAGTCATGCCAGCAGAATACGTTTCCTTTAGATTACAGTACTTTCAGAACAAATTTTAGATTTAATTTATGTGATCTCAGATCTATTTTATATCCTAATTTATAAGACAGCATAGGAGTGCAATTACAATAGAGACATGCAATCAGATTATTCATATTTTTTCTGTACCTGTTGCGAATAACTGGGATGTGCAGCTGAAAGATCTCAAAGCTGAAATGTAAGAAAATAAAAATATAACAATATAGGTAAAACAGACAATGACAATAATGTCATTCAGACATAAAAACAAAGCAAATTTCTCATAAGCTTCTAACTAATCATGAGCCAAGAGGATCAGAATGTGACATAGTACATACTGTGACATTTAGAACACAAAAGCAAATAATGAATAATATGATAGGATTATGGTACCTTAATATGATAACTGCTAGGAAGATTTTTACTGGTGGAAACAAATTTAAATGGAAGAAAGTGTTTAATAGTGGGGGTTTATGCCCCCAATCAACTGTCATCTCAAAAGCAATTTTACAGACAACTACATCAGAAAATTGTGGCTATGGATTATAAATCTTTGATTGTTATGGGAGATTGGAATGGGGTACTTGATACTTTTAAAGATAAAAAGTCACCCTCTAAGGACGTGACCCTCTCCAGACTACCTAAATCTTTTTTTGCAATGATGGAGGATTTGGAGTTGGTAGATGTCTGGAGATCACAACATATGAATGAGCGTGATTTTACTTTTTTTTCTCATAGACATGAGTCTTTCTCAAGGATTGATTTTGTTTTGACATCAACTGACTTACTTATTGACTGTAATAAAACTAANGGGGGGGTGGGGGGCTTATAATTCCTATTGTGTTTACTTATGTTTAATTGTTTTTTATTGTAAAACAATAAAACTTTTTTGGAAAAAAAAAAAGAAGAAGAAATTAAAAAAACCCTATCTCTATAAAACCAATCTGGGTCAAAAAGCAATCCTTTCTTTCTATAACAGTGGTGGCGAACCTATGGCACGGGTGCCAGAGGCGGCACTCAGAGCCCTCTCTGTGGGCACGCACACCATCACCCCAGTCCTAGGCCTTCAGCTGGGTTTTATAAAACCTTTTCACTTTAGGCCTCCGCTGCCGTGTACAAAAAAAAGGTTCAATCAATCAGTCAATTTCAACTTCTTGTGGAAAAACAAAATCTTGCAAAGTTGGAATTGATTGATCAAACTTTTTAGTCCCACCCAGTCTGCCGTTACCACCACAGCCACGCCCACCCAATGGGCCACACCCACCCAGCACCCGACAATGCATAAGTGGGTTTTGGGTTGCAGTTTGAGCACTCGGTCTCTAAAAGGTTCGCCATCACTGTTCTATAATCCTTTTGATGGTGGCAATGTATGCAATTCTTATTCTATATAGTTTCCACTGAGCAAACTGAATAAGAATACCTAAAAGGACTATGCCAGAAGGACTTCAGCAAGACAAAGAGTGAGAAATGACCAGAGAAGCTGTATGAGTTCTGAGGGATTGTGTCCTGAGTTATGAGGAATGAAAATATGTTCTGAATAGGTGCTATGGGCACAGATAGATCCTTAGATCTGGGGGCTGCAGTGCTGAGTAAGCAAAGATCAAAATAAGTAGTTTCTTGGGCATAAAAGCAGAGAAATCAGTTTGAATGTTCAGCAGGGGAATTAAGAATAAGTCCCTCACAAACATTTCCTGTAACTCACGAATTTCAGAAAGGTCATTTTCTGCTGCAGTAGCATGGCTATAGGAACAATCCAGAAGTGTAGACCATTTGCAACTTGCATTTGTTTGTTGATGCTACAATACATTTATCCCACATTTAAACTTTCAAATGGCAAAGAAGTCTAGAAAGAGGGATTCTCATCGGTTATTGTATATATGAGCCGTTTAAGGGAGAAAAGCAATGGTCTTTTGATGAGATATTTCCATGTTCTACTACTGGAAATAGTGGCTATTGATACTTCAAGCAATCTTGGACTACTTTCATCACCAATGATGCCGAGGTATACTTTTTGGACTGATTGGTGCAAAAGATCATTCTATCATCATCTTAAAAAGGAAGAGGAGATAGTTTACTTCATCTCATCAATGTTTTATCTTCTTAATGGCTTTTTAAAAAAATATTGCAGAATGAAGGTGTCTATATAAGGAGAGTAATAATAAATAAATGTCAATAGTGGAGTTAGATTTAAATGAATTTCTAAAATCAGAAAGGTCACATTTCTGAACATTTAAATAACAGATACAGACTGGCTGGTGAACATTTGTATGTGATTTTCCTGCAGTGCAGAATTCCATTTGTGACAGAAATGTGTTTTGTTTCTCTGTTGTAATAAAATAAAGCAGTGATCATTGACTTAATGAAACTGCTCAGGCAGACTCTAATTTCTTGTGTGGGATCCAGGAAATATTGTACATTCTAATTAGCTTTTCATATGTAACTATACTACATAGCAAATACTATAAAATCTGACTGTGGAAGCAAATGATTATATTTAAAATAAGAAATTCCTTAAATGTTATTTTAAAAAAAATCAGCCACGATCTGTCATGGTCATTATTTGGATCTAAAAGAGCTCAATTCACTACAGTATGCCTTTGTTTTATATTGCACTTGCATGAACTTTTGCAAGGAGGTAAAGCATAAATCAATCCTCTGGGCTTTAATTTTAGAAGGAGTGTGATTCTGTGACAAATAGTTGCTTAACAGATGCATTAGGTCTCACAGTGCATCAGTAACCTAAGTGTGCCATCTTCTGGTGGGGGAGATCAAACTGTTCTGGGAAGGGTAAACATAAATTAGATGCTAATTTTCATTTGACAGAATGATGAGGATTTTTTCCTGTTTTGTGAGGAACACTGGAAACCTAAAGGCATAAAAGGGCTACAACCTATCCCATCCACAAAATGGATGCAAACACCAATAAAACTCAAGTTAACTTCAATTCCCTGATATGTAATCTTCCTCTGAGAGAAGATGTTTGTGTTCCATTTTGGTGAGATGACATCAGTGGCCGTCTATGAGGCAGCAGCACTCTGGGAACAGGAGTCTGATCTCAGGTGGCCAATTTCTCTCCACAGTCTGCTCCAAACAGAATTTAACACTTATCATTTTATCCTGATGTTATGAGAAATAAACATCATATACTGTTTATTTCGCATCTTCCAAATGGGTAAAAGACATGCGGACATTATGATTACACTTACTCTTTTCAGACACTGCATTGATCAAACAGAATATTCTTTCTCCAGATTATTTGTGAGTTGAGGGAATTATCTTTCCTTCATACATAAAAGGAAAGAATAGAAAGAATAGAAAAAGCTGTTGAAAATGAAAGAATGAGCAGAAGGTACTGCTTCAGAATATTAACCTTTTTTCTAAAAGAGCTTCTCTTTTTTATTTCCTTCTCTGTTTAGTTACCTCTTGTCTTTGTCTTCGCTCCATCATGTTTTGTCTCTCACCCCTGCTTTCTCTTCCTTTCCCCTAACTAGACCTCCATTTTATTATTTTATTTTAATTATTTTATTTTATTTTATTTATTATATTTTATTTATTTTATTTTATTTTTTATTTTATTATTTTTCTTTACGGTTGGAAGGATGGAGGGGGATTTTCTGTATATGTGTACTGAATGGTACCCGCAAGCACTTACTGTTTTCATCCGATGGAATTTGTGCCCTTTGGGGAGGGCATTTGATGTCATGAGGCGTGTCAAAAAGGGGCTTGCATCACAATGCCTCAATGTTACTGATGTCAGTCTGACTCTTCTTTATCCCCTGAAGATGCTACTGTATGTATAGCATATTTCTGGGAGAGATAATGATTTATGTGTGACAAGTATTTGATGTATGAAGATGGGATATCTTAATTTTAAAGTAATTTCTTAAAATTGGAATAGTTTGTTTGTTTTGTCCTGATCAAGGCAACTATCTACTGTATAGTGTGTACCATATATACTCACATATAAGTCCATCTGCAGATAACCAACCCATGAATTTTTAACCAAAATACTCTGAAAAAAGTGCCATCCAGGGATAAGACAGCCCTTGAAATTGTCATATATTTTAATTTTCACAATTAGCTTATTTGTAGGTAATCTACAGATTATTCATTTGTCAGGATATTTTGCTTAAAAATTTGAGGGTCAGCTTATCTGGGGATGGGCTTATACACAAGTATATATGTATATATAGGTACTTTTAAAAAGTATAACTGCATATACTTGCAGATAAGTCGAACCCATTTTTAAGGGTGTATTTTGCAGCTAAAATTCTCAGTTTAGTCAAGACTATATACAGTATAATATATGTACAAACAAGTGTTAACACAGCCAAACAGTTACTGAGCATGGGGAAATCTCCAGGATAAGAAATCTCTGGGATAAGGCATCAAATTATTTTGCATTAGCACTTTGAAATGTATCTGATTTTGGATGAATTATAATTCCCCAGCATCTGGTGATGATCCATCCACGAAAAAGCAGCCATTTTTGGCTTTCCCAAAAAGGATCAGAATTTTATGGGTAGAAAATGAGATCTGGAGTGAGGGCTGTTACAATTTGAGGTAGGTTCATGGGAAGGTGACTATTCTGGCATGATCTAGGTCATGGCATTTGACATTGCTTTAATAATGAGATATTTTGTTTTTTTTTGTAAGTTCTATATTTCAAAACACATTTTGGCTTTATTGATTCCCTTTTATAATGGGGTTTTTTTTTTTGCATTTCTAATTTTCTGTATGTCACTTTGAGTCATTCTAATTAGAATAGAATAGAGCTGGAATGGACCTTGGAGGTCTTCTAGCCCAGCCCCCTGTTCAAGCAGGAGAACCTATACCAGTGGTTCTCAACCTTTTTAATGCCGCGACCCCAACCGGTCGTAAGTCAAGGACTAAACCAGTCATAAGTCGAGGACTAAACCGGTCGTAAGTTGAGGACTACCCAACCGGTCATAAATCGAGGACTTTCCCTGCCCGGGAGCGCCGCACATGCGTGGTTCCGCCCCCTGCGCCGGCCGAGGCGTAGCTGGCAAGCGGCAGAGACAGAGCAGGCCGACCACCAGCTGGCCCAGCCCAAGGGAGGTAAGGCACCCGCCGGAAAAGGGGAAAAAATGGCGGACAAAAAAATGGCGGAGAAAAAAAATGGCGGACAGCCTTGCTTGGCGACCCCCGTGAAATGGTCGATCGAC